GCGTCCCCGTCTCCGGGAAGCTCGGTCATAAAGTCGATAGAAAGCTCGCTAAAAAAGCGGTCTGGTATAGACAGCGGGCGTAAAAGTCCCTGCTTCGCTTGACACCAGACCTTGGACCTGCCACAAACACTGCAATTTCTATAGAAGCGGCGTACTGTCTTGTACTGCTGGGGCCAGAAGTAGTTTTGTTGTAAGATCCATCCTGTGATATTCCTTCCCGGGTGTCCTGTGATGTGGGAGTCGTGCGTCTGTTGTACCAATGCCGTCCTAAGGGGCTCGTAGTCAGGCACCCAGATTGATCCTCTATACAAGAGGACTCCTCTGCCTTCAATTTCGCAGTCGATAGCCTGTACGTCAATCCCTAGGCTAGGAGGTAAGGCTCTGTCTCCTCTTCCAACACTAGCATAGATATTGCAATACGTCTTGTCAGCGCTGATAGCCTTGTTCCAAAGATGTTGGAGCTCAGGGCTAGTGAAAACGTGTCGTCCGGGTGGTTGTACCAACGCCGTGCGATCCATTGACCGTAGCTTCTGGCATCGATCGGAGGTCCTTCTTCGTAGTTCTCCATCATCGAGTCATACGGGGTCAGCACCCGCAGGGCTATTGCGCCAAGGCCATAGGCGGGAGCCGGGTGGGTGTAACGGTACGGAGGCTTAAGCCTCTCCGGAGCGGTGTAGATAGTCCGGTTGATGATGCGGTCTTCCAAGTAGTGCCGCCCTCCATCTAGCCCGTCTGACCACCGCTGAAGACCTCCCAATGTGGGATAAACGTTCCTTCGTCACGGCAAAATCGGCATTTCCACACACGAACATCTGGAGAATCGTGGATGTTATCCTAGCCGAACAAGAGAAGGAAAGCAGCAATATTACTACACATGATGACGAAATAGCCCCTCAAGACTCAAATATCGAGTGCTCCTACTTCCCCTTTTACGAGCAAATGTCTGGGATTTTACCCTGTACAAGCTCGAGGAGCTTGGGAAATTCAGTGTCGTCTTTTTGTGCGAGAGATAACGCTGCTCGAGTTTCCGTGTACTTATCGCGAATAGAAACATCCAAGCTACCGCAAAGTGCTGCTCGAATGGCACATATGTCTGTCGTTTTCAAACTGTGCTCGATAAATCGTCGCAGGTTTCCCCAGTCGACGGGCTTCTTCGCTTCTTTGATCTGTTTAGTCAACTCCCCGTAGCTGAACTTGTCGTCTATCAACAGCCGTATTATCGATTCCTGTTGATGCCTGTTTTGACCAATCTGTTTTGCAAGGCTTATGCTTCCTTGGTCTGTAATAAGAATCCATTTCTCAACAGACTCGTCGATGGCCGATTTATTGCGTGGGCGTTTCCCACCCCAGTAGAGGCGTGTCTGATGGCTGTTACAGAACTCCTCCAACTTCTCAGAACGCTGGCTGACTTCCAAGCCAAGGATATAACGGTCGTAGCGATGGGCAAACGTTGGAACCAAAGGTAGGTCTAGAACGTGCCTATTGAGCTCTATTGTGTGTTATCCATAGCCCAAGCCTGGATTGATGCGATAGACCAAATATCGACATGGGTCTTGGCAGCTGTTTTGGCAGCGCGTAGTACCGGCTTCATAGCGTCGAGTTGTCCTGGAGGGAAAAGGCATTTATATTAGGGTAAAAACAAATCATGCTCCAGACGTTCAATTGTGCCAATGGCGTGTCCTTATTCGGCCTGATACTGCCTTAAACGTAGAAGGACGCCAACCATCACTTCGCATTCGTGAGGGTCTGGCTTTTCTTCTTGCAATCGGCTCAACGGGTACGGAACCGGAAATGAACCCGGCTTGAATAGACTTCCAAACTGTCAACAGTACACTTCATGAACGATTATAGACAGACACTGACCTTTTGATATACTCCATATCTTCAACGCTCACACGATGCAGAGCACTGAAGCGGTCAGAATACCCCTTGTCTGCGAACCAATTCTCGAAGCAGAGCTTGGCAGCATGTATGCTTGCAGAGAGTTCTCGACACATGATGCTAGACACTACCAAGCGGTTAGTAATTCGAGAAGGTTTACTGCCAAGATGGAACTAGCCTAGAAATGCACCAGTCATAGAGAGGCTGCCCTCTGTGTAGTCTTGCCAGGTGCTTACTATCCCCCCAATTGCAGCCTCGATGTGTTAGATGAAGAACGAGTAATCTTCGTCGTCAAGACTCGGTTCATCAAGCTCCGCCTTTTGAGCAGCTCTTGTATGTCGAATGTCATCGCCAGGTGACAGAGTGTCGTGAACGACGAGAGCGCTGTAGCGATTATTAGAATCAGATTGGGATACCGAGTCCGGAACTGGGGGTTTGTTGGTGGTTTGCATGGATTGGAGTTTATTAATGACTGTCGTAAGAGTCGATATAAAGTGAGCATGTCCAAGTGAGCTGTCGGGCTCATAATACGCTGCAATCTGGTTTCGATAGTCGACAGCAGAACTAAGGTGCTTTAGTATGTCGGATCTTTGTTCGTTCCTGAGGGCGCTCGCGGCCGCCAGGGATCTCTCCTGGAAGATCCTTAATGACCAACGTCGACAATCATGATTTGGATGGAGGGTCTGGAAAGCCCTATTCTCTTGATCCTTGTAGAGTCTCCAGAGTATCGCAGTTTTAGACATAGTGGCGTGACCAAGACCAACTGGAATCTGAGGAATAGGTGGACAGGAGGCGAGCGGGGGGTTTAAATAATTACAGGGCGTCAGCCGACCGCGCCCCGGATCAGTCTACCGTGCCAGAGTCTTCCGGCGGTGGATGAAGTGCGTCGGAGTCTTGCTCCGGCCGCACGAGCAGTTGAGGACGGCGTCCTGATGTTTGAACTTGACATGATACCAAGAGAAGTCGCCGTGCCCTGAGCGGACAGCGAGGAAGCGGTGTAGTGAAGGCCTTTTAAGTACCTGCAGCACTTCGTGACAGCGCAGTTTGTACTTCAGGTCCCAGTACTTGTAGCGGGCCGACAGCTTGGTCTGGGCCTTGGTCTACCACATGTCGCGCGAGACTTTGAGCTTGAGTCCCGCCTCTGCTTTGATGCCGTACGCCGTCGGCGTGCAGTCGGAGTCGACGTTGGAGAGCTTAGAGCCGGCCTTAGCCAGCTTCTCTCCCAGTTCATTGCCCTCAAAGGCGCAGTGCCCCGGGCACGCCCAATGTTTCATAGTTGCTCGACGGCATCGAACACGCGCCATCCGACGAGGCATATGTACATCTCTAAACTTCCACCGTTCATCCAATCCGACAACCACTCCTGGGATCCGTTTCGCATGTTTGAAGCTTTGAAGCAACTAGAATCATACGCTCTGATTAAAAGGAGTAGTATCAATGGGTATCACGCAACGGCCATGCACTCGCTTACCCACAGCTGGATGAATCTCCGTCAGGATAGGACCAAAGAGATCACTCATTACAAATGAGTCGAGAGGGTCAAGCACTTGGAGAGCATCTCCGGTATATCTTTAACCAGATACAGAACGACTCAGACGAACCAACAGAGAGCCTTGCATTTCTTTACGATATGTGGTCCGCAAACCAATATAATCTTGGGATGACAAAAGATGCAGCGCGGTTACAAGAGAAGATAGTCCAGATCAAAAACACCAAGCTCGACGAGGGCCATCCGTCAAATACAGACATGAAGTAAGAGTTGCGGGCTTCACGTTGAACACCCACGCATGGACATGAAAGATCCAAAGCTGACGCGTCCCTAGATACACCAAAATCTATAAAGCGAGCAGTCAACTTCCGTTTGCTTGCTGCTGACGCTGCACATTTGCCCCTTGAACAAATGCTATGGTTCGGGGTCCACGCGATTCTCATACTCGTTGTCCCTCAGCTCTCTTGCCTCTCTTCCAACCTGCTGGCTTTACTTATTACCAAAGCTGATCCCGGTCACCCCACCATAGATCTGTCCAGCTTGGAAGCCCGAGTTTTGACTGCCAAACGTGACTGTACCAACAGAACCCTGGCTTTGTGCAGTAGCCTTCGCCACCGTCTCTGCCTGTAACTTGGCCAGCAGTTCCTGCAACAGTTCGAGCGAAGCGGCAAAGGTTTCATGTTCTTGTCCCAGCGTTTGCTGATCTCGCTCGCGGGAACCAAGGTCCAGCGTTGTTATGCTGTCTTCGACAGCTTGAAGACGATCCTTTGTCGTCCTAATGGCGTCTGTGATTTCTGTCTGTCGCGAAGATACCACAGTCCTGATCTCTTCAGCAACGTGGCCGTTCCGAAGAGAGGCGTACCTGTAAACTACAGTCAGCCGTGTTTGTACTTGTGTCTTCGTGAGACAAACAGCTTACAAGACGGCCACATTTACAACAGAGGCAATGGACAATTTACAGCTTTGAAGCTGCTCTGTCAATGACTTGATCCGGTCTCGCTTGAAAAAGCCTACACTCGCTCGGTCCCGCAAGCTCAGCTTTCCCGCGGTAGAATTTCGAGTCCAATGCTGGATGTCGGCTCGGAAGAATGTACATGCCGTCTGGCATGTGCCAACCGTCGTCTTGGTGTTTTCAGCCACGTCTTGGCCTAAAACTGCCCATTTCGTGTCGTCGATTTCTTGAAGGGATTTGATGGCAGCGTCGAGAGCACGCAGGTCTTCCTGCAAATGCCGCACGGTACTAGGAGCATCCTTGAGCTCTTGCAAATCAGTAAGAAGGAGTCTCGTAGCGTGCAGGGCTGGAACCGTAATGCCAACCACGCTGGCCGCGACATTAAGCGGGTCTGCCATGGTGTTCTCGTGTCGTAGAGAAGGACATCTAAGGCAACGAAGCCCCGGCCGACAATGTGCGGGGAAGCCCGGCCGACGATGTGCGGGGTTTTAGCCGCCGAGCTGACGGGGGTCGTATCGTATGGTAACGATGCTGGTGGGTCGTATGGTGCTCGAGTCCTATCTCGACTCCTATGTCCCACCTCCCACCAAATAGCCTGCTCTTCCCTAGATCATAGATGGCCCTGTAATCACCCGTCAACAGTCAACCTCAATTGTTGCAACTGAATCCTATCATGCCATGGCTTCCGCGGTACATTTCGGGCCAGGCAACTCTGGCTTTCAGGCCGGAGTAATCAACGGTTCGGCCAATACCGAATTTCATCACCATGTCCCGCCAGGTAAGTAGGATAATACTACTAGGATCAGTTCCCTTGGATCAGTTCCATTGGATCAGTTCACTTGGATCCACGCCGACCGTCAACGCGCTAACGAGGCCCCGACTCAGAACGGCCAGAAACTCCACCAAATCCATCGTCCATCATTCCCTTTGGCCAGGACAACGACTTCATCCAGCGAGGCAACACACTCGATCGTATCCACCAAGCATCTGCCACCCCCGGTACACGTATCGCGCTCGTAGGCCTGGGCGGCGTTGGGTATGCGCGACCTACACCTACACAAGCCATAGGCATAACTAGCATAGGCATAGGGCGAGAAGCTAACTCGTGGAAGAAAATCGCAGCTAGCCATCGAATACGCGTACCAAGTCCGACAGCGATCACCGGATACCTGGGTTTTCTGGGTCCACGCAAGTAACGCAACGCGATACAAACAAAGTTTCCGGGAGATCGCCGATCATGTCAAGATACCCGGGCGAGACGAACCGCAGAGCAATATCTTCCAGCTTGTGTGCGGCTGGCTACGTGGTGGGAGGGACAGAAGGTGGAGACTCATTCTCGATAATGTCGATGATGCCGGCTTCCTTCTCGAGCCTCCAAGCCGTAACGAGGATGGCCAAACTGGACATGCGGATGGACGGCTTGTCGATTATCTCCCGAATTGCGAGAACGGATCCGTACTGGTCACGAGCCGAAGCATGAGCGCGGCCGAAGATCTTGTGGAGCCATACAGTATCATTCAGGTCGAACCTATGAGCGAGGCCGAAGCGATAGCACTTGTCGAGAAAAAGCTCAGACCGGAGCAGGACAGCAAGAACACCACGGCGCTCGCCGCCGCACTCGAACGTATGCCGCTAGCTATTGTCCAAGCGACAGCCTACATCTCCAAGAAAGCTCCTCGTTGTTCTGTGCGACAATACCTCGAAAAGTTTGAGCAGAGTGATCAGAAAAAAGCGAGTCTCCTCGATTATGACGCCGGTAAGTTACGGCGAGATAGAGAGGCCAGAAACTCGATCATCATCACGTGGCAAATCTCATTCGACCACATCCGTCGAACCAGACCATCTGCAGCCGACCTGCTTTCGCTCATGAGCTTCTATGATCGCCAAGGTATTCCTGAGAGCCTCCTACAGAGTCCGGACGAGAAGGAACGCCCCACGAGTACACCAAACCGACACCAACGGAGCCCTGCTTTGCACGGTTCGGCCAGCGACCAAGAATCAAGCGAAGAAGACGTCGAATCGGATTCTAGCATGGATAATCAGTTCGAAATGGATGTCTCAACATTGCGCGACTACTCGTTCATCTCTACAGTTGAGGACGGAAGGACATTTGAAATGCACAGCTTGGTCCAGCTGGCTACGAGACAATGGCTTGAAGCCGCGGGACGGCAAGAGCAATGGAAGTCTCAGTTTATCCGTCGCCTCGACGCCCAGCTCCCGACCGGAGCATATGAGAACTGGGCAATATGCCGGGCGCTTCTGCCGCACGCCGTATCGGCAGGAGCGCAGCGGCCGAAAGACAGAGTCTCATTGGAGGCATGGACTTCGATCCTTTATAAAGCTGCGTGGTATCTTCAGCAAATGGGCCAGGGGCCTGAGGCGCAAAGCATGGCGGAGGATGCGATGAAGTACAGAACAAAGATACTTGGGAGGACGCACGAGGAAAGTCTTGCTGCCATCGAGATGGTAGGCCAAGTGTGTAACCTAAGAGGTCAATGGAGCCCAGCGGAGAAGCTGTTTGTGGAAGTGATGGAGACGAGCAAGCAGAAACTCGGGCCGGATCATCCAGACACGCTAACCAGCATGGCCAACCTGGCGTCGACGTACTGGAATCAAGGCCGATGGGAGGAGGCGGAGAAGCTGTTTGTGGAAGTGATGGAGACTCACAAGCAGAAACTCGGGCCGGATCATCCTTCCACGCTCACCAGCATGGCCAACCTGGCGTCGACGTACAGGAATCAAGGCCGATGGGAGGAGGCGGAGAAGCTGGACGTGGAAGTGATGGAGACTCACAAGCAGAAACTCGGGCCGGATCATCCTTCCACGCTCACCAGCATGGCCAACCTGGCGTCGACGTACTGGAATCAAGGCCGATGGGAGGAGGCGGAGAAGCTGGAGGTGGAAGTGATGGAGACTCGCAAGCAGAAACTCGGGCCGGATCATCCTTCCACGCTGACCAGCATGGCCAACCTGGCGTCGACGTACAGGAATCAAGGCCGATGGGAGGAGGCGGAGAAGCTGGAGGTGGAAGTGATGGGGATGAGCAAGCAGAAACTCGGGCCGGATCATCCAGACACGCTCACCAGCATGGCCAGCCTGGCGTCGACGTACTGGAATCAAGGCCGATGGGAGGAGGCGGAGAAGCTGGAGGTGGAAGTGATGGAGACTCGCAAGCAGAAACTCGGGCCGGATCATCCTTCCACGCTGACCAGCATGGCCAACCTGGCGTCGACGTACAGTAATCAAGGCCGATGGGAGGAGGCGGAGAAGCTGGAGGTGGAAGTGATGGAGACTCGCAAGCAGAAACTCGGGCCGGATCATCCTTCCACGCTGACCAGCATGGCCAACCTGGCGTCGACGTACTGGAATCAAGGCCGATGGGAGGAGGCGGAGAAGCTGGAGGTGGAAGTGATGGGGATGAGCAAGCAGAAACTCGGGCCGGATCATCCTTCCACGCTGACCAGCATGGCCAGCCTGGCGTCGACGTACTGGAATCAAGGCCGATGGGAGGAGGCGGAGAAGCTGGAGGTGGAAGTGATGGAGACTCGCAAGCAGAAACTCGGGCCGGATCATCCAGACACGCTGACCAGCATGGCCAACCTGGCGTCGACGTACAGGAATCAAGGCCGATGGGAGGAGGCGGAGAAACTGTTTGTGGAAGTGATGGGGATGAGCAAGCAGAAACTCGGGCCGGATCATCCTTCCACGCTCACCAGCATGGCCAGCCTGGCGTCGACGTACTGGAATCAAGGCCGATGGGAGGAGGCGGAGAAGCTGTTTGTGGAAGTGATGGAGACTCGCAAGCAGAAACTCGGGCCGGATCATCCTTCCACGCTGACCAGCATGGCCAACCTGGCGTCGACGTACAGGAATCAAGGCCGATGGGAGGAGGCGGAGAAGCTGGAGGTGGAAGTAATGGAGACGAGCAAACAGAAACTCGGGCCGGATCATCCTTCCACGCTGACCAGCATGGGCAACCTGGCGTCGACGTACTGGAATCAAGGCCGATGGGAGGAGGCAGAGAAGCTGGACGTGGAAGTGATGGAGATGAGCAAGCAGAAACTCGGGCCGGATCATCCAGACACGCTGACCGGCATGGCCAACCTGGCGTCGACATACAGGAATCAAGGCCGATGGGAGGAGGCGGAAAAGCTGGAGGTGGAAGTGATGGAGACGAACAAACAGAAACTCGGGCCGGATCATCCTTCCACGCTGACCAGCATGGGCAACCTGGCGTCGACGTACTGGAATCAAGGCCGACTACCAGAAGCTCTTGGTTTGATACGGGAATGTGTACGGGTTGGGCGAACTGTCTTGGGCGCTCAACATCCATGTTATCTAGCTCTCTTAGAAACCTTGCATACTTGGGAGCTGGCGCATACTGGCGTCAGTGCCAGTTAATAGCTAGATAAGTGTGTTTAAACTACAGGATATTTGGAAAGGACTTAGCCATCTAGCAATTGGCTTTCTCATTAATTTACTTGATTATTCGAGTTCTGAGGTGACAACATGTCTCAACTTATCGTTTAAGATGCTGAGGTCCGGTAAAAGAGGACAACACTGTGGTTAAACAAAGTCGGTGGACAGAACTTGAAGAACGCCAAGTACGGGGCTGGATAACAGCAGAGAAGGGATGGCCATGGATTGCGCACAGGTTGAGCCGAAGCAAGCGGGCTGTCTCATAGCATTGGGCCATTATGCTAAAGGAAGGCTGGGCGACTTTATTTAAAAGAACTATATGTAGGTTAGTAAGGCTCTAACTATCCCTGCTGCCGGTACAAATGGACGACTAATTATCGTCATTGAGACCCTGCTTGTACTGCCCTTCTTATATACAAGATCCTTAACCGCTGGAATGGTAGCCACCAACCGCAAAGATATCTTCAGGGCGCACGATTCTTTCAAGAAACAACATAAGCAAGCCCCGGAAGAGAACCCTGGATTATCACGATATGATCTTAAACATCTCCTATTTATGGATGTCCTAACTCCGCCGGACATCGTTTGTTCGAATCCTAGCCCTATTTGGGGCATTCATCCAACCCAGACACCTGTCGTAATTCGGGGAGGGGTTTTGGATCCGAGCGAGTAGCAGTACGATGTTTACAAGATCGCAAAGAAGAGCAATCACCCATGAGCCGTAAAATCGATACCATATGACATTGGAAGCGCCTGTGAGGACATCAAGCTCCATGCCAAAAACCAGGATGCATGAGAGCAAGCTGACAATGGCATCCTCTGAAGGCCAGTGATGCCATATGATCACCTCGGCGACTTCGAGTGCCCCATCGACCAGCAGAAACAGGCAAGATGGCATGGAGATGAGGATCTGATCCCGGGCTACCGCTCAAAGCCTGGCAGATGACGACGACTACTGGTGGCCATTGGTCGCTGCAAATATCGCGGAAAAACGGAGGCGCAGTGAGTACATCTCAACTGCAGATAGATACATGGCCTTGCTAGCACCTTCCCGCACACAGATGCCACATTCTTACCGCCGCTCATCCACCCCGAGAGCGGGCGTGAGATCAGCTTCTTGTATACGCCTCACACCTCCATGGCTTCGGTGTTGGAGAGACCCAAATTCGCCAACACGGGATGGTGAGATCCTCACAGCACAGTAATCGCCTCCCATTTCGCATCGAACGGGCCTTGTCCTTGATCACACCCCCCGAGCGCTCGGCGCCTCCATTCTGGTCCTGTGTGTTAGGCGCGGAGGGTTCCACCTTCATCTTCTTGGTCATGGTGAGAAACTGATACACACGAGGCTTGTGATGGTCTTTGGCATATTTTCGCAGAAGCCCTGCCATCTCTATGTAGCTGGTAGAGCCGGCGTCAATTTACTTCTTGTGCCCCATTTTGAAGCTTGTCTTCCAGTCGCCCATTACTGACGATACTCCCATCTGGTGGGACGGCAGTCTCATCGGATGTCTAGAATAAATTCGCCCAAAAGCGCCCATCAGGATTAAAGTGAAACAAGTCGCTCGAAAGAGCAGTGTAGGCAGGTAGCGTGGGCCAGCCGTTGAGTACCACGGAGGTGTTGTCGGGAGGAATGCCCAGGAATTGCAGTCGACATGGTCGTCGTCGCATGTATCGAGAATGCAGACAGAAGATGGCAGTTTAAGGTCGGAAGCGCTGATTTTATCCAGTACCCACCTATGTCACCTCAAAAACAGATTCAATATTGGACTGCCACTTTTCTACCAACGTAAGTACTTTACATACAATGATCATGGTCAGGTATAAAGGTAAGCATCTGCAAACATGTTGCCTTTGCTTGCAAGAACTAGGAAGAACGGAAGCCAGGATTCTGCATACTGATATTGGGACTGGATGAACTTGAGGCCCGACACTAGGCACTGGAGAATATGGCGACAGCAGCTACTGAAAACCAGCTGAATCACTTGACTCAACCGACTTCAACGCCATTTCGTATGCCATGTGTTGTCGGACCATCGTAGCCAACCGGCTCTCATCCCTCACATATGCATGCGTCATCATGCATGAAGATTCGCGTAGGCGGATATGTCTCCATGAGGAGCTGCCTGCAAGGGCGCCTTCGGGATGACTCATACGTATTCCAGGGTAAACGTCTTCCACTGGCGTGGTTAGCCGACGTGGTCATCCATACAGCTGTCATACAACAGGTGTCAACTTATGTGAGCTTTCAAGAACCGACCTTAGATCCAGGGTCCAATCGGCGTGTGGGGAACGATTGGATACGAGGCACCCTGGATATGTTATGACCCATGCCATCCCAGCCACCTTGTTATGTGTGCACCTGGACGCATGACATAGGTTGTGAGGCAAATCAAGAGACGGCTCCATCCAATCTTGCCCGCTATGCACTTAGCATCCTTGTCATCGGACGAAGTGCGTGCCACGGCATCGCGATACGCGGCACGGAGATCGGTAAGATCCTGGCGGCTCTTAAGCGCTTTGATATCTGCTTCCGTAGGGTAAAGGGGAGCATCGGGGTCGCGCTGTAGAAATGAGCGCCGCAGAGACTTGAAGAGGTCGGCGACATCTACGGCCATGCCTCTGCCAAAAGCTGTCGCGACCAAGTCGCGGGTGACGCGCCGTGGCTGGTAGCTTTTGAGGAATACGTCTTTCGTGTTGCCCATCACGTAGTTCCGTACCCGCTCCTCGAGACTACCTGCGGTGCCCGGGTTAGCTGGGCCAGCGGCAAGAACGGGGATGGCTTACCAGATAATCGACCTCCAGCGCCAACACGGAGCGAGTAGGGACGTTGTGTATCGTCGCGCAGCCCAGCAACAAGTAGCGTGCGATGCCAGAGGTCCAGATAGGTAGGATAATGGATGGGTACAATTCCCTTGTCTTCCATACCAGCGGCCCAGGATAAAGGTAGGGAATCTACCTGGCCAAGGTTAGGCCGTTCCAGGATATCAGCGAGAGATTTGAAATCTGCTTTGAAGGCCTGATCAGCGATCGCCCGAGCCAGTAGCTGACCAGGCAGATCGGCTTGCAAGGGATGGTAGTAACGCAGAACGAAAGCCTGTAGAGGTTAGCTGCGGAATTAGGACGCGCCCATGACAGCAAAACTTACACCTTATGCTGGCTTCGCTCGATGGTCGTCTTTAACTGCTTATTGTGCCGAATAGTGATAGTCGCGACTAACCTTTGCTTCAGAGGGTCCCGCGGATCCCGCACAAGCTCGAACGCGACCTGGCGGTACTTTAGATTCATGACCTCGCCGGGTCGGAATCCACCAATCCCTGCGATGAGAATGGCACAGTGGAAGGCTACTCGTGTCTGTGGGAGGCAAGGGATATGCCTCGCCTGCGTCCAGAATGTGCCGAGCAGCACCATGATGTCTTCGGGCGCCATCTCCTTCTTCTCGAAAGATTGTTTGCGGTTCAGGTCCACGAGGTCCGGCAGCTCCGAAAGGCTGCTGCGCCAATGGATCCAGGACTTTCGACATGCTCACCAGCGGCCCGCAGAATTACCTGTCCGCTCACGACTAATGCTATCGCCAGAAGCTCAGGCGGGCAACAAATCATCAGAGAGGACATATCTGCATCTCCTTGGAGACAATGCTGCAATGCCGCCATTGGGCTCGGATGTAAGTCTGGTTAAAGACATCGCCGAAGCCTCGTCCATGCAAACGATGCACATCGGGTCCGGTAATGCTGTCTATCTACTGATCACGATCTCTGGTACTCTGCACTGATATAGACTGGAGACAGCGTGCCTTAGCTTGGTCGAGGCGCATCCCATCCTGCGAACTGCATTTGTAGCTCATGACCGTCACCTCTATCAGACAGTGCTCTGATCATTCCGCCCGGAGTTCATCCAACACCAACACTCAAGCTGGCGGCTTGATGCTTCGGCTAAGAACTCCGTCCAAACCGATCGACTACGCCCATTCAATTTCCGCCAGCCCGTTACCAAATTCTGGTATTTCTATGCCAGAAAACACTCCACCCTCGTGATACGTTTATCCAATGCTCAGTACGACCGCGGTTCGCTGCCGGCCCTGGTCAGAGACCTTGCGTACCTCTATCATTCCAGCGAGAAAATACCCCGTCGCCCTGGCTTATGCAGAGTAAGCAGAGCTTTTCAGAAGATGGTCGACCCCCGTGTTAGAGACTACTGGCGTGGTTTACTTGATGGTGCAGCACCGACGCAAGTCATTGCCCAGCCGTCACCTGCGAGCGCCAGTTCGAGTCGAAAATTAATCGCAACAGAATCGCTGTTGCATGTAACCGTACCATTTCAGACCGTGCTAAATGGCGCATGGTCCATGGTCTTGTCAAATCTGTCCGGGACAAAGGACGTAGTCTTCGGTCAGGTCACTGACTGCAGGCACCTGAAACTAGCCGGTGGCCAATCCATGTCGGATGTGATCGGGCCATTGGTTAATATCATTCCCGTGCGTACAGTTTTGCCTGCGTGTCCAGTCCCGCCATCCGAATACCTGGGTTCGGTCCATCGTCAGCATATAGCCAGCAGGCCACACGCGCATATGCCGACTGCTGCTATCGTGCGCGACTGTACATCTTGGCCAGACTGGACACGCTTTAGTACGGTGGTCTATCATGAGAACACCATTGCCGAGACGCCAACCAAATTCACCTTAGGCGACGCAAGCTGCGAGCTTCAATGCGAAGAAACCCAACACCAGGATTCCGACGTCATGATTCGCTCCGCCATCCAGGAGCCCGGCGTCGTTAATATATCTCTGACGTGCTGCAAGAAGATAAATGCAGATCAGGTGTTGGACAGGTTGTGCTCTACAGTCAAAGACATGTGCGACAACCTGTCGGTGCCGAGAATCCATCTACCGGCGCCAGCGACGAACCAAATGTGGATCCGGAGCATGCACGTGCTATCCACAATACTGTCTCTGAAGCTTGGAGAGCAGTCCTCCTCCAGGGTCTCCAGCTCCCCGAGCTTCGGCCGTACTACAAGATCTGGGGGGATCGGGTGGCGGCAGCAGTATTGGCTAGGTGTTACACCGATCACTTGTCAGGAATCCCTGGCCTAGAGAAGAGCGTCTTCACAAGGGAAGAGATCATCAGCCATCCGACTATGATACAACAGTACGAACTGGCAATCGCCAAACAGCAGCAACAGGTGGCGTTAGCAAAGCCGGACAAGATGCTTACTCGTTGGGGTAAGTGTACAGTCGAGAGTGCAACCCAGTGGAGTGGAAGATACCGGTTTAGGAAGTAATGGAAGGTAAGAAATAGCCACGAAATGGCGCGAGGTGGGCCTGGAGCGAGCTGGAGTGGTCTGGCGCTCCCGGTAGAACGATGCAACCCATGTCCCATGGAGGTCAGACAGATCGCGGATATGCCGAGGATGGGATGATGATACTTGGTGCTTGCAGATGTTAATTTTAGTATCATACCTGGTCGCTTCTAAATCGCATGTTGATCGTACCGAATGATAACGAGTGGGTTGTCAAGATGCTGCTCGAGGGAGAAGGGGGGATCTAGGCAACGAGGGCTGGGACCACGTGAGAGGGTGCCCCTCCTGAAAAAGATCTGCGATGCCCCCATCGTTAAAATGCTAGACCGCCACAGGGCTATTATCTCGCTATATATACAATCAGGAATCTGCAACATCTGCGTCGCATTGAAAACCGTCCTTAGAAGTTATCTGATCCTGCTTTTGTCCCCGCCCGCTCGGTGGTGTTGTCGCTGTCTAGATGATCCAGCAACGGGCGTAGCAGTTGGGCTCCACCCGCTCTTCCTACTCAGGTATTCCTGGTTGGCACCGTAATATTTGGCGAGGAGTCGCTTGATCCCTCCTGCTGATGCTTCTTCCTTCTCGCTATTCCCTCTATATCAGTCACTACAACGGGAGGCGGGCCGTATGGCGCAATGGTCAAATGCGCCTGGCTGTGTTCTCGTTTATGCGGTGGGCGACGAGAACAAGTGGGTTCGAATCCTGTTACGGCCCCCTTTCTGACCCGGCTTGTGCGAGTCGACAACCAGCACACGACAGTGGAAAGGCCCCATTATCGCAGAACCTGATAGCCAAGCAGCTTTTCTCCACAACACCCACTCCTGGGAGGTTTTCCCCCTTGTGGTTTCCCTCGCCAGTAGATAACAAACACCTATTTCATCCACCAATGCGACATATATCAAACGGCTACTGGAGCGATGCGTACACCAGGGGACTGAGGTCCACTGGATCGCTTTGTCACTGGACAGGAGGTTTTTCTGACGGAATCGTGCTTGTGTATCGACTAAAACCATCTGGCCACTCCAGGTTAGTACCGCTACAGCGAGGATGGGCTCGTGCGCGGATCTGAATGTATCTAGACTGACACCTCTACAACCTTGCGATGCAGTGCCTCTGGGAGGCGTGGTTTGCCCTATTGAGGGACTGCACCCACGTTAAATACAATCAATCAATCAATACAACGGGAGGCGGGTAGTATTTATCCTACCGAATTGTTAGTTAGTACACTACACCAAGTCTTTGATACATACCATGTCCTCGTTTAATAGCGGTAAGGTTTTGGGGTCTGTCCGAAACACGTAGTGTTTGCCTTTATGAGGCACCGATATCGAAAAGTAGACGGATGCGTCGTGGTCGAGGCGGAGCTGCGATCCAGTCCGGATTAAAGTCTTCCATCTCTTCTTGAGATTTTCTCTACTTCTGTCTCTCGTTCTGCGCCCTTCCGATCGGTTGGGTGTGATTTCGCATCCTTTCGTACAGCCCACAACCTCATTGGCTAATCCCGCACCGGCATCTGGCGACACCCTCGTTTGTAACGATCCCATTTAAGAGCACGAAAGCGTCTTAACGCCTAATAGACTGTACCGCAGATATAGACTCTACAATGTGTAATTCTACTCTTGCATTTAAGGTGGCGGATTAAAACATGATTTTGATCTATCATGATTTTGATCTCGAAAAGGCGGCGAAGCCGAAGAAGCCAAATGCCCCATCAGGTGCCCGTCAAGGCTAGCACTCCGACTCCTGCGGCGGATAAGGGGCCGGCTTCCGACAACTGGTTTGGCATGCCTTCCGAGGAGGAGCAGATGGAGTTACTTCGACAGGAGGGTTTTTGGAACGAGGTCAAAACGAAGAATAAGGGCAAGAAGAATGACGGCTCGGCTGACAACACGACCTCGGCCGCTCCTGCGAACGGCGGAGACAATGCCACCCCTTCAGCTAGCATCAACATGAGATGTGAGGCTGTATGCCGGTGGAGCTGTACGGGGCTTATATCACAGGTGACATTAGGTTCAGCGATGTCACGGTCTCTATGGCCAATGAAGAGCAAGGGGTCACGTACCTCTTAGTAGGGAATCTACCCAGGACCGGGTCAGGTGTGTTTGGATGTAATGTTGAACCCGTCCCCCCTGCGCCGGAAGAAGCATCAGCAGAAGGAATCAAGCGACTCCTCTCCAAATAGTACGGTGCCAACCAGGAATACCTGAGGTGGAAGAGCGGGTGGAGCCCAACTGCTACGCCCGTTGCTGGATCGTCTAGACAGCGAGGACACCACCGAGGGGGCGGGGACAAAAACAGGATCAGATAACTTCCAAGGACGGTTTTCAATGCGACGCAGAGGTCGAAGGGAGTCTAAGGGAGCACGAGGTATAGGAAGGAAATCAGGACGTTGAGAAAACATATATGTTCATGTGAAGAGCGGCACGATTCACATGGCTGTTGAGAGCGCTTACTTTGTTCAAGCGCTTCGCAGGATCAAGCACGGGTAGAGAAGTGGGAGTCTAATAATTCTTAAGTTTTTGAGGTGACGAGCATCGCTACGCCGGGACTTTCGTAAATCGCAGAGGAGGTATTGGATAAAATCGGCGGTTAGTCAATTATTGGATACCAGGCACACTGGTTTGGTTAAAGACTCATTCATTCAACCCAACGACAAAATCTAGAAACGACTTTTGCGTTCCAGGTTTGGATCGTTGATACTGCCACCCCGGGGTCCTTCTAATAACCAGCGGCGCCTGTTACGGCCCTGGAGATCACATCACCGGTGCCCACAGTCCACCCAGCATATAAGCAGCGTTTTTGGACTTTCGCTTAGCCCTGTTAACGTCCCACGTTAGATCTGTCGTGTGACTGGTGTGTGTGTGGCGTACATGTCCATTTCATGATCTACAAACACCCTTGTTGTCTTTCCGTCTCTAGAATTAGATGCTCTGACGAGCACGCTGATTAAACCCGTTTGTGAACCTTTTCCATCGAAACCTTGTACTCCCCTTCCAGTCATGAAGCAACCCAACGTGCCTGGCATCGAACCATTCCGGATGCACTGCCAAGCTTCACGCGTTACGGCCTTGTTCAGTTTTATTGAATCCAGCAGCAGCGAAGCATCTCGCATTGAACCCAGGCGAGGTACAAGCGAAAGCCTTCCAGCAGGGCTACGAAAACACCAAAGACCTACTCCTAATCCCCTGCGCGACAGAGACTTCCACCAGAGCACCCGACGACGTCCCTGAGGTCGGTTTGGAAGATAGCTTCCAGGCTTTAGCTATCACCTGAAATAAGATAGCCCGGAATGGTGCCTGTCCATGCCGGGTTTCTAATGCAACATCGGCCCGCTGCCCGGGAAGGATCATGCCGTTGCCGGCCCGTTCGTGGGTTGCGCGGACATGAGCCATGGGCCAAGTCGTCTCGAGAATGATTGAATAACGGGCGAGCTAGGCTAGGCTAGGTCTCATACTATACAAATACACACAGCTGCCCAGCTAGCTGGTCTCACGGCACGTATAGGGCACCCGTTGCGCCATGAGGCAAAAACTTCAACGAATGGTCATTGTCCCCTATTTCTGTGCTGATGATATTGCCATTCTATAATTATATCTTAGTCCAAGTGTCCGGGCGTACGTTTGTTTTGGGAAGCAGGTTGGCCGGCCTCCGCACTCGTAAGCATCCCTTCTTGCCATCGTACTGATATCTGCAGTTCATGAGGCCGCACCGGCAAAGCCTCTCAGTCTCTCTGTCGCACCAGTGGCTCCTACACATTGCACATGTCTCTTTACATCTCGCCGCGCATTCTGGACAGAACATATGTCCTATAGAAGTTAGCTTGTTTTAAAGAAGCGGACACCACATAACGTACCGCAAGGACTTATCCGCCATTCAGAAGATTTGAGATAGCAATTAGCGCAGTTGGTTCCGACCCCAAACACTCGAAATCTGCCCTGGGGTCCGTATTGTGCATGATATGGATGAATGCAGAAACGCAAGTCCTCGGACCAAGTTATTGCAGCTTCCAAGGACTTTGCGTGCGATGGTTGTTGGTAATTACCAGAACAGTTGCTGCAGTAAAGCTTATAAAGTTAACGACATGCGGCTGCCGGGAAGAAGAGGACATACGCAACCGCAGGATTCCAGAATGAAGCCTTGGTCCGTTACTACACCGCAAAATTGACAGCAGTATTGATCATCGCCTGTCAGGTCAATGCATAGGCGCTTGGTATAGAGATATGTGACCTCGTTGTGACATGAGGTAAGGGTTTTATGCGTCCATGTTGGAGATGAAGCCATCGTAGGCCGTGCAAATGTGCACGGATGGTCGATACAAGAAGTGTCGAAGGTGAGGAAATGGAAAAGAAGACTGTACTCTCAAGGCGGACATTTTTGCTGTCTTGTATGCCACGCATTTCCGCATTTACGATGTTGCGGTTCCGGCGAGCCGTGGCACATGATAATACGACATAGCCGCCTGTTGAGGCAGTCTTAGAGCCCGCCGTTTACCCATCACAACAGTTGCCTGACCTACATAATATTTCTTATCCACTGCAGCTGCGCACACCTTCCTGACATCAATAAAAACAGCACCAATGCAGCAGACTTGCATCCTTATAGCCTTCTTGCTGTGCAACACATCCTGAACCCGAGCTCAGACGATTTTGCTTGGATATTGAAATATGCGGCTTCCGTCGCTCGCTGTAGCGCTGCCGAACTGTTGGCTTATTGCCGATCGCTCCCGCACCGCTTCCGACATGGTGGACCTAGTAGACATCTAATAAGTGGGCCGGTTTGTATCTGGGTTCGACTAGGAGACAATTTCGACTGTCGCAATTATCATATAGAGTTTGTAAAGTCTGTAGAGCAGCGCCTTTAAAGATAGAATGGTCTTATGGGATATAGTAGATTCTCGGCAGTCTTCTGCTGACAATGACCATGTGCGGAAAAAATCACGTGTCCTTAGTACCAGCGAATCAGAATGCCACCAGGTTTTGCGGCTGAATATTAATTCTCACGGTCGACAGACATACGAAGACACCCTCCTCGCCCGCGCTTACCACAGCGCATAATCATCAAATCCATGGATCCGCTAAGCGTCACAGCGAGCGTAATTGCCGTTGCTGGTCTTGCCACGCAGAGCGCTCAAGCCGTTTACAAGGTGATCAATGGCTTAGCCGAGGCACCGCAAGCTATCGCCAACTCGAAGACCCTTGTCGCAGGGACACAGAAGTCATTGGACACCCTCACAGGAACGCTGTCGACAAATCAAGACTTGCAGGCCAGGTTTGGCTCTGTTCTGCGATTGATTGACCTCGACAAGACTTTAACCTCTACCCAAGAGCTATGCGAGAGATTCAGTACGACAATCACGACTTCGTGTAATAGAATAGTTGTTGCAGTGCGTTGGGGCGAGCGAGGATCGCCAGGTGATGATACAACCTAACGGTGGTAGGCGCCTTGTCGGACGCCTTGGAGTACCAGTGGCGTGAGACTGACGTCCACACCTCCCTGTCTCGAATATCGTCATCTTCGATAGCCATTCTGAATCTAGTCAGCTTTCTGCACACCACTCAAGAGTCGCACCAACGGACCTGTATCTAGCCAGATCTCCCATGCACTCTATCCAAGTATCCTCGAATGCTGGCACTGTTTCGTACAGGAGTGCCATCATCTACCCATGGGCCTGTTTTGCGACATTGTAGGTGAAAGCAGCAACTGGATCGTGAGGGGGGCGGAAAATGTGCTTGGCGACCCAGCTTGATGCTTCCTTGCTTCCTTGCTTCCGACACGCGCGTAAATGAGTGGTCGGGAGTGACTTATTGCCAGCCTCGCTCTTATCTCATGTACACCACGTCACTGCTTCCTGACCAATCCCTTGTTGCAGCTCGACCTTCGACCTTGCAGCAGCCGTTGGGGTGAACGAATGAGTCATTAACCAACCCAGTGTGCCTAGTATCCAATCATTCGCTAAACGCCGATTTTATCCAATACCTCCTCTGCGGTTTACGAAAGCCCCGGCGTAGCGATGCTCGAAGGTCTTCATTTGTTGGCACCATACATCCGACTATCAGAATGAATCACCACGACAGAAGAAATGATTAAATGTGCAGGCAGGATTCTTGGCCGAATATCAGGCTTGGCGGCGTTATGTATGCTCCTGCATGCATGACACAGGCTGTGAGGCAAATTAAGAGGCGGCTAGGAATGGTTGGTACGGGCACGGACCGCGTGTCTTGTCGTAGCAGCATCCTCCCAAGTCTGTGGGCACCAACAAGTGAGCGTGCCATTCTCAGCCCCTGGTCAAAGCTATCAATAGATTGTCCAGCTATCTGTCCAGCCACCCATTCTACCATACGGTTGTTGCCTCCGTGCTATGATCGAGTTGGATTACCAACGGCTGCCTCACGTTACGGAGGTGGTGGGCTACATGTTGACAGAATAAGAAGAGCGTGATGGTTGCGAGACTGCACCTGTGTAGCCAAGATGCAGCTGGAAACCCCTAGCAATATCCCGAGCCCGCGGTGGATGTAAGGTACTTTAGGGTCCCGAGCGGCACACGAACCTTCCAGCCAGCCGCCCTCCCACCCCTGCTTCACGAACCAAGAAAGCCAGTGTATCACATCCAGCCAGTGAATGCGGCATAGGGGTCATCCGCAGCCAGTGAGTGTGGCCTAGCCAGGGTGCATGGAGCACAAGGCCCCACCCAGGCTGCGCATCGACGGACGGTGTCGACCATGGTACGAGTAGGAGTTTATAATGTCCCGTTTGCCACAGCTGCCGTTGGCACAAGCGTTGTTTCTTGGGGGCTAAGGGGCCCTGATGCCTGGAGCATGCGGCTTGCCATCGATACTACATGCTGCTTCCACTTCAGGTCACGGAAGGATGGCGAGGCGAGACAGGTTTCGACCGCCTGGTCATGGTCCCCTCCTTGTAAAAACGCAATTAGAGCCTCCGAGTCGTCGATGCCCTTCTTCATCCAGAAAATTGCCGTGCGGGTGTAAAGACAGGATGTTAACGTACACGCAGCTGGATCACCTGAGGGCGGCTCTGCGGGTACACAACCTGTGGCTTCAACGATACGGTCACAGTGGTAACAATGCAGCAACAGACCCGTATGCACCACCGCCAGCGGCGGCCGACGACACAGGGGCGGGCGGCGACACACCGACCGCTACTCCTACAACGACAGCTGCAGCCGCCGATGACTCTGAGCTTCAGGCATACTCGGTGTCGGACGTGCCGCCGTGCCGTGGCGGGCCGAACTCTGTATTGTCATCTACTGCGACGCGGGAGCAGGTCCAGCAGCGTCGGGATGAACTCACGGAGTGGTTGCGCGAGGGCAAGCCTTACTGTAAGGGAAGAGGGGCATGACTCCCTGTTTCCCAAGATGACCTGCAAATCAAACCTCGAGGCCGCACATGTTATTCCGTCAGTTTCCGTTGGCCCCGCCATTTAGACTCGTGATCCGTGATATCTGGCTCCTAGTCGGTGGTCCAAATAGCGTCGAGGAGCTCCTCTCGCTTTGACATGGTAGTGCCTTGCATCTAAAAGTCCATAAGCTAGAAGAAAATAAAAACATAGGAAATGCAAATTCTATGTACGCGCCCGCCACTACTTCCTGCGATAGTATGTAGTCTGACTCATATGAGAAGATGGATCGTCCCAAGCTTCTTCTCATCACTTAGAAACCGTGTAGCTCCTCCCCAGGAATGGATCAGCTCATCGATTGGATGGGGATGGAGCGAAGGCACACAGCCGAAAACAACTCGTTTCCCAGACAGTTCCTACTTGATAGTCCAGCTCTAACCCTTGATTCAGCTCTGTTCGCGATCCAATGCCTGCTCATGATTCGGTCCATCTTCGAAAGGAATTTCTGGCAGCCGTTAATGATCCGCTTTCGAATTATAGCTCAGACGTTGGATCGTATGGGAGCGCGGAGGCAACATCCATCTGAATAGGTTTCGATGATCGTCCTGACGTGATGCGCTAGACGACGCTGACGATCTCGGGATCCGCGAGCCCCAGGGCTGGGACCAACTCCACCTAATCCACCCGTTGATCAATATCGTTGATTAACGTCAATCCAATGGAATTCCACGGGGCTAGAGTTGGATTAATAGTCAATTCAATTTCGAGCTGTCGTGGATTGACTTGGGTGGATTTCGTTCAATAAGGATGGTACTGAGCCTGTAGCTGTCAAACAGCGTCGTGATGGTTCATGTGGCATGACGTTACTTTTTTTGTTGAAAGTCATCTGCCCTAGTGGCCCCTGCGACAGCGCACCTCCCTAGCCCCACGGTAGCCTACGTGCCATCCAGTCTGTTCAGCAGACACTAGATTATCGTTACAGTTAAAGGGGGGTATAGAACACCACAGATGGTGTTGATGGGTCCGTAGCGGCCTGGCACCCAATAGGCAGCCCCTGTACTGATGACAGCGGTTGCCCGGCGTCGCCTCCGTCAGGTCCCCCGTTCTGAACATGGGTACGGGAAGACGCCACGGCTTGGGCATGAAGCTGCCAGCCTGCTTCCTCTGCGGCTTCTCGCTGCTGATCTTCCTCCTTCTTGTGCGCCTTCCATGCCTCCCGAATCTCGTTGAACTCTATCGATTGATTAGGTTAGTAATTGCAAATACGACCGTTTCAACACTATGCTATGATATATCCTTCAGACACTAGTACAGCTCAACCTAGCGACGCTTGATTGATTGCTGGTCTGGTCCCTGACCAAGGACGACCACGCGAGCCTCTAGTGCAGATCACGGGCAGGCCATTTGGCAAGCTACTGTCAGGCATTTTTAGATTTGGGACGAGATCCCGCTTCTGAGATAAAGAGCCAATTGACATACCGTAAGGTGTTCGCTTCTGACCATGACTCTGCATCTTGACGTGGATATTCAAATGGTTCAGAGTGCCATAAGCCTTCTGACAGCCATCCCAGCAGCACTTATACAAGCGCTCGATCTCTTGGTAGCGACGTCAAGGCCTCCTGTGTCGCTGCGCTCCGGGAGAAGGCACAAAGGAGTAGATCTGTTGCTGACCATACTGTTAATAAAAAAAAGAATCAGCCATATTATACATATTATGGTGAAACACATGACGCGCAGCATCCGACACCTATAGAGCCAGACACTCCGACGTGGAACACCGCGCGTCACTGCCGCTCTCATTCATATTGGGGCCTGCAAGTCGATACCGGACGTACGGCATGGGGTTCGTCGACAACTTTGAGGAAATGCAAAAAGCCTACCATAGCTGGTTCTGCAGGATGTCCATAATTGGCCCGTGCGGGTGCCTCGACATGCTGCTCATGTCACTCCCTCGATTGTGAATATTCTGCTGATTTTCCTTATTGCGGCCCTGGGGATGAGGGAGATGGCTCGCCCCAGTCGGGTTTCCTCGACGGATGGAGCACTTTTGAAAGTGCCGTTTGAGGATGTCACTTCGCGAAAACGTGTTACGGCACAACACGCACATGTAAGGGCGATCGCCAGTGTCTGGTATGACAATGTCAGCATATTAACAAGACGTCTTAATTTGCTTCAAGACTTACGGCGTAGGAGATGACGCTTTAAATGCTTGGCGTGAAGGTAAGTCTTGGTACAGTGAGGGCAAGGGAACTTTCCATCCGCGTCTTTTTGAGGAGTCACTGTGTTCTCGGACGTGCCGGTACCTGTTGGGGTGGCGGCTCTCCCGGCAGCATTGGGAAGGATACCGCGACGGCCTTGGGGCTTAACGATGTGGGTGGCCTGTTGGGCGTCCTGGACTAGCAATTGCTGGTAAGGTATCATGGAGCGTCCGCCATAAGCAGAAAGCCGGCGGGTCTGGGTCTGAGCCATAACGCTTCCAGCCGGATTAGCTGCAGTTGGCTGCGAACGGGAAGCTGCGATGCAAGGCTGCGGCGTCATGAAAGAGGGATTGAGAGAGCCTTGCTGGGTATTCAGGTATTGATTTGACATCATGCCATACGAGTAGCAGCCGATACCTGTGTTAGAGGGTGGGCATTGGCTCATGTTATTCTGAGGTTGGAGTGTATTCAATACGGATTGAGGAGACGCAGGTCGATTGTGAGCAGGAAACGTTGGGATTGTTGAAAAGCCGCTATTAGCTCACTGTCCCTCGTGACAAGCGGCCTGGTGCTGTGCTGCAGGAGACGCCTCGCTGATGCTACGTGCTGCCTGTCCTAACTCATTGCTGTTAGGGGATCCTGTAACTGATAGTGTGTCAGTATTACAGATGAGGGCCTCATATCGGTCTGGGGTGTTTGGCTGTGTCGTATCGGAAGTGGGTGGGCTTTGTTCAATATGATTATCTGGGAAAGGACCAATGTGATGCCGAAAGACTCTGTTCATTGCGGCGACGTCGTGAGCAGGAATATCTGCAAGAGAAGTGGCCACTGTTGAAAGGACGTTGAGATTGCTACTAGGCATGTTGGAGTTGTAGTGTGGTACAGAGATAGTGAAAGAAATGCTGCTGTTGCTATTGAGGGATAGGTGATATGTAGAATAAGAACATCCTCGTGGGAGAGGCAGGGAGATGAGAGTCATCTGTAATGTTTAATGAAAGATATAAACCACTGAGACGTACTTGAAGTCTGGAAATGTTCGGGTTTATATGAAAGCTATGAAATGGGGATAAAGGACAATCTCTTAAGAGATACATACTGCGCATTAGGCATTACTCTCACAGGATCAATGTCTCCTCCTGCTCATGCCAGAAGACGCAAAGCCCCCGGTGATGCCGAACCCCTAGGTCTGGAAAACCCTGCTCTTGTGACGCGTGAAGGTTGGCAGTGCATCCGATGAGTCAGTAAAATATCAATCAACTCTCCTTCAGACTGTATAGAAACTAGCGGTGACGCGTCCGATGGCGCACTTTCGATGCTATCGAGCGGCTATGAATGGGATAAAAAGAAGCTGATTATGAGTCACTTGCGACCACTCATTTACACGCATATCGGAAGCGAGGAAACGACCCAGGCTCGATGAGAAGGAGCGGGAACTGGCAGGCTTCAGGTATTTTCTTTTCGACAGGGGGCTGACTTGTTACTATATACATAGGTTCGTTCGTACTAAGCTCAAACCATTGAAGGCTTTGGTTAGTTTGCAAGGCTATCAAGGCTGCGCTACAGGTCTGGCCCAACTACCTTGAACTCAAGGATCTCGATGGGTCAGCGCCCATCGTCATTGCGATATCTGGTCGTATCCAGGGGAACAGGCGGAAGCACTGCAAAACCCTTAGCATAGTGGTATGTGCACCCTTGGCAAGGAAATATCTTGCAGGAGAGAGTTCACCCCCTCTAGCAAGGCAGGGTCCAAAGCACACACACAGTAGGTATCTATCTATTTAGGCAAAGACCAGATCCACAACTGGCTCGACTGCAGTGGTTGGTTGCCAAAGCCCGAGCCGGGGATGCGATCGCCCGCTACTCCTACACCCCTCCCAGGCTGCCACTTGCCCCCCTCGTTGATCGCTTTGAGGCGCTGTCGACCGCGCACTGGGCCCAACGTTGCACTGAAATGGCAATCGGGTGCATATGGGTACTCTCGCATCCAGATGCCGAGTACGTCGAGTCCGTCGTGCTACCCATGTCTGCAGAAAGGGTACGTAGAATACGTAGCTACTTGCTCGTACCCCTACCTCTAGACCCTCGTGGCATGGAAGGTGTGGGTGCCGGGGTGGCGATACCCAAAGTAGGCGCGAGGTGCGCCAGAAGAGGACCGACGAAGGTGATGTGGTCGGCGTCAGAACCGTCCTGTCGGGAGACACCTGGCTGCTAGGAGCTCGCTTCCGCACAAGAGCAAGCAAGCAATGGTCCGCCAGCACGGCAGTGCCGCCCGTGCCGCCATCGTGATAGATCTCTGCAGGGTGTTGATATGCCACCCTACACCAGCGCTAACTTGCAGGGCTAGGTTGTTATTTCATCGGTTGCATCCCAGTGCTTGCAAGGACTGAATGGTCCCTCATTGGACTTCCAGCCGCAACCAGTTGGAGTGGATGTCAACGTGCCGGAGCTTGGTTTGTAGCGTCATTGCTTCATACAACACAACAATCAAGATGACTCACAAACGAACTCCGAGAGGCGCCGCAAGTCCCAAATACATGACTCACAGAACAGGCCTGCACGGCGCCGCCTCACTAAGACTCAGACACACCCATGCCCCTGAGAACGATTGGCCCCCAATAGACACCAACCCCGGCTGTAAGTCGCCGCAAGACCAGGATGGGTCGACAGCCACCGTGATGGTCCCTATGTACTCCGAGTCTAGGCTGTATCGGCCGTATTCACGGAACGGGCGGGGCAGACAACTCCTCCCTGCCACTCCTGCTACGCGTTGAGGCGTTGCACAGTACATACACCAAATGGTTGTCCTGGGACAGAAGTGGTCCTGGGACAGAAGTGGTTGTCCTGGGACAGAAGTGGTTGTCCTGGGACAGAAGTGGTTGTCCTGGGACAGAAGTGGTTGTCCTGGGACAGAAGTGGTGGTCCTGGGACAGAAGTGGTCCTGGGACATGCCGGCCGAGCGTTTCTGCCAACGCTAAGCGCTTTGTGTCAGCCGAGGTGATTCTGCCAGCGCTAAGCCTTTTCTGCCAGCCGAGCGTTTCTGCCAGCGCTAAGCTCTTTTTGCCAGCTGGGCGTTTCTGCCAGCTGAGCGATTCTGCCAGCGCTAAGCTCTTTGTGTCAGCCGAGGTGATTCTGCCAGCGCTAAGCTATTTCTGCCAGCCGAGCGTTTCTGCCTCCCCTACACCAGATACGACGCGCGTACCACAAGTCATCAGAATGGCAATATGTCCTGTTAATTCTGTTTTTGCAAATACTTGCCTCCTTTAGCGACATGCTCTAAATCGTCTGTAATGAATGCTCAAACAAAGTTCTATAAGCCAAATCGTTCATAAAGAAAGCTATAGGTATACCACAAGGATTTGGTGCCAGCCTGTCGGGCGATTTGAAATAATATATGCTCATATAGTTCATCTAGCTAGAAACCCTTTGACGTGCCTGATTTTTAGCCCGTGCTTTTTGCATCCACCGGGCCTGTGCCTGATCAGCAGATCGAAGAGGCACATTGTGAACCTTCTGTACATGGTTTCTGAACTTATTTAAACTATCCAGTTTGACCCCGGCCTTGATGTAATCTGGATGTCTACAAACCTGAAGCTCTCCACGCAAAGCCGCACGCTCACGAACTGGCAGGTGCTGATCATCAAAATGGTCATTCCTAATAGTACTGCGGCAATATTTGTAAGAACGCTCCTCGTAAGAGATTCTCTCATCCCATATGCAGTCCGGATACTGAGTCCACTTTAGAACTAAAGGAATTTGTGGTGATGCAGGCTTAGGCTGAGCTATTGTATCACCCTCTTTTGCACGGATGTTTTTTCCTTTGATTGTCTCTCTTTTTGGATAAAGAGCTGCGTATAGGTTAATAACCTTAACTCGAGCTTCCGAGATCTGTTCGTCGCTCCAATTCGCTGGTTGATGGCATAGGAGCCGAGCCAGTTGAGCGCGTTTGGGGATGTCCAGATCTATCTTCAGCTCTTCGTAGTCATCTTCTTCTTCCCCCCTGGCTTGCCGCTCAATGTCCCGGGTAGGACGATTGTAGAAGTAGTCTTTGTGATATCTTTGTGACGGCCTGCACAGACCTTCCCACATGACAAGCGGATACTTCCCAATAGGAGAAGGATCTGACCAGAGGATCCCCTTAAAGGGGCAACCTCCCACTATACCTATCTCTCTCTCTCTCTCTCTTCCTTTCCTCCCTAGTCTTGATATTCTCGTCAATAGAGTAATAGCTGCTTGCTGCAGGCCATGTCCCAGCTCTTCAGTATGCTCGCCGTGACAATCTTTGAACCACGTCTTTTTTGCGTTGCGTACGCTTTAAGGCAATGGCGGTGGTAAGCTTGCGGATCTTGTTTTCATGCTTGTTACCGACAAGTTGATGCTGGCCGTCCTTGAGTTTGGCATGTATCTCTTCGAGGTTGCTGATTTCGGGGTCTGGTTGGAGTTTATTTTATAGATCCTCGGGGACCATGTCTCTTGATGCGCGGGGATCCCGCGAGATACTGACTTTGGTGAAGAGTTTGAATAGCTGGTCCTGCTTCTCCTTCTCCAGGAATGCGCTCTGGCAGTCATACTGAAGGTTTTAATTCTGGTAGGCTCCGCGAGAGGTAGCAAACCTGGGATCATGACGTATCATCTGATCCCGGATCGAATCCAGCGTGTCACCTAGGTGATGTGTAGTTAGAGTTTTTGTCATAATCGAAGGCAGACAGCACGTACCATTCACCGCATTGCCTGCCCTTCTCCGGCAGAACTTGGGAGTCCATCGCTCTTTGAACCCGGCATTGAGGCTCTGCTCACCCATATCATCACGGAGCTTAGCATAAGCCATGCGCTCGTCATCTGAAAGTTCCGCACTTTTGACACGTCGGAACACGGGTTTCTTCAGCATTGACTCTTTCCATCGCAGTTGAATGCATTGCATGCCGCCACATGGTTTTACATTCAATACACTCGAGGCATCAACCAAGCTTGGAGCGTCAAAAGCGCAATCATCAAGAGCTATACCAATCATCAGGCTCACCGGACAAAAGATCAATCTTTTTGTTGGAATAAAGTAGAAGATGGTATTAGAGACTTATTAGTACCGAATGCCAGTTAATATTGCTAGGATGAGAAGCCTATAGCTTTACTTACGGTCTTGGTTTATTGTCGCACCCTTTGTGATGGACGAATTTAATAGCCATCGCCGGGATCAGTTGACCAGACTCCGGGTCATGCACTATCATCAGTAGAATGTCTTCGTAGCAAAGGGCCTTTGGTCTTCCACGTGCAACTGTTTCCTGCAACAGCAGCCGGGAAAGGACCAATGACTCTTGATCCTCACCTTGCTGGTCTCCTCTGCTCTCGTCAACTCCCTCGTGCCTAGCGCTGTCCATGGGGCGAGAATCAGTGCAAATGGACGAAACGCCGTTAACACCAAAGATTTCCTCCACTGTGCCGTCTTTGGATTTTTTCGGCTCATTGCAGTCGAGCTCAGCCGGACGCACGCCTGGGTAGCAAAAGACTTGGTAGCAGGCTGATAGTTGGACGCGTTGCCTTTCCAGAGGCTGAATGGCATAGTCGTAGGCGAGGTGGAAAGTCAGGATACAATGTAGTGCCTCCATTTCTAGCACTGGTTTATTGGTGTTAGGAGGACAAAGGTTAAACGTTGGAATAAGAATGGCATGCATATACTATTAATTAGTTAGTCATAAGAGCATGCTCTGGTTTGATATGATTGCTAACCTTGTAGACCAACTCAGAATCATTGCGGTCCACGTGGTTTCCGGTTTGTATTCTGTATAACTGTTGGAATCGCCGGAAATACTGCGTCAGTAACGCTTGAGCCTTTACACTGTCGGATTCGCATATGTATAGGAGGAAATCTATCATAGTCGGGACCTCTATCGTTTTGATGACCGTCTCCCAGTCTTTTGTATCTAGAAGCTCTTTACAAAAACTGAAAGGCGGATTAGCTAAGAACGAAAAGTGAGGGGTTCAGTAGGGCATACCATTTCCACTTGGTCAGTATCACGCCAAGGTTGTTCTGTGTCCCCTCCGATAGCTTTGGTCTGACGTACTGTACAGACTTAGCATGCTTGCGAAACTCAGCGTGTTCCTCAGGCGACAGAGACTTTGGCTGCGGCTTTTTGTTGTTTTCGAATAAGGAGAAGCGCTCGAGGAAACCCGCACTTTGGTCTGTACAGGTACGTGAAGTTGGAATGGCCATGCTGAGAAAGAGGGCGAGCACTTTGAACGATACTGTAGCTTGGCCTATTGTTCAGATTGAAAGAAGCGAGAAAGTTGGAAACGCAGTCACGTATGAGTCAAGGCTGCCGTAATGGATGGTTTCTGGTCCTGAGATTCAGAGTAGATGTGTAAGTGTGGCAAAGGGAGAGAACCAGAGTGAGGGTTCAAGAAATGGGAAGGACGAACTGGAGCCAGAAATGGCTTTGTGCCAAGCGACAAACACGCATAAGATAAGGCGGCAATTTCGGGCGCCTAGTAAAGTATATTTGACTTGTGCAGGTACGAACAGTTTGGTCCTAACACTCACTGCTAGAGCCGCTGAAAATGGCGACGGCAACCGCCAAATCCGGCGGGAGCAGCAGTAAATTCTCCTTTTATATTAGTAATGGAGAACTCGCTGCCTGCTCCGCCGGGTTTAGCGGCACGCCCGATTCGGCATGGCGTCTCATCTGCCCTGTGCGAGCTCGCGCACGTGCACAGTCCAGTCCGCCGCATCTCATAAGTACGAACGGCACCCCCGACGTTCCTTTCTGAGTACTCTCTACATTCCCTCCTTTCACTCCCGCCCTCGGTCCTGTGGATCTTGATTTCACAGCCGTTCAGTTCCACACCACCTGCTGTTGCCTAGACGTTTGACTCACAGCTGACTCCGAGAATGACTTTAGCTACTTTGGGAATCTGCGAAGCTGCCCACCTCGATACCCGCCTCGACACCCATATAGCGGCTTTCGCCACCTCGGCTGTCGATTATCATCCATCGTTTGCTGGAGTTTGAATACCTCTCTGCCCAAGCCATTGAGCTCGGAATATCTGGGTAGGGGCCCAAACTCTGCCAGATAATTTCATCAGGTACTGGACGCTGTGCGGAGTGCTCAGGGGACTACACCTGGGGGGAGTACACTCATCCTTTGGTAGTCTGCAGCATGCGCAAAACAGGTCCTTGACGGCAAGGGGCAGTCAGTTCTTGCATATGGTTCCAGAACTCGCCGTGGAAGCCCGAACAAGGACCGAGCGAGGCGTTGCCGCCCTCTACACTAGGCGCTTATTTGGCTCAAACATTTCCTTCTCGCCCACGCAATTGGACTGTTGCGATAATCCAGCCATTTTATGCGAGTGAACGGAATATATCAGCTGACAAACCTTGACCCTCGATCGTCATTGGAGGCCTCCGAGTTGGCTAAATGAGGCAGGTGCTCTCATACTCTGTCGCGGCAACTCCGAGGATCGTATGGCCGCGGGAGAAACTATTGGCTGGTGATGATCGCGGAGGATCAGTGTGGTCTGGTGATATCTCTTGGCGGTAGTGATCGACAGCACGATGATGTTCAGTGCTCGTGATATTCATGCTCTGGCAGATTATCCACTTGGTTTGGGTGTGACTGCTTACATCTCGTTTCGGCTGACGATCAATACACGATTCTGTTCAGCTCTACGTCTCGAGCTAGCTATAAAGTCAACGTTCTTATGTTCTAGAGGACTCTGCTCTAAAGCCAACTCAACAACTTGTTCATTACTCTTCACAGTGTAGCGACAATGCCGGTCGATCTTAGTTATATCAATTTCTATACGCCCCCCAAGCCAATTGTTTCACCGAAATCTGGTTCTGTGAGAAAACCGGGTTTCCACGAGTCCACATGCTTAGGCTCAGACAGTCGTATCCGGTATCCCAGTTCGAACGGGACCGAAGAGGGCCATAGCCAGCGAGGCTCAAGCTTGCCTTCTGGATCACGTCCGCTGCCGAGCGACGGACATCCTACCTCGGAGAAGACTGCTACTAGGACCGCAAATGACACAACTTACTCTGCGTCGCTCACTCCTGAGGTAGTTGTGGCGCAGGGCTGCTCTACTCCCTCACTGACGGAACCGTATGAAATACAACGAGATCAGCCACGCTTTATGAAGGACTACCCAGATCATTCTGAAAGCACTGAAAGCCACGCTGGCCAGGCGAGCGCGGTAGCCAACACCGTATCCGAGTCAGTACAATTCCCTCCGCCTCAGTCGCCACCGCCGAGCAGCGCGATAGTTTCTTCATTCCCAAATGCAATGCCCGACGCCTTTCAGTTACCACACCAAGGGTCCGGGACTGTTTCTACTGAGAAGTACCGTAAAAAGCGAGGCTGCGCACGTATGCCTCCTGGTTCTTATTCAGAAAACGCCCTCTTGGACCGTGCGCATTCTGGAGTATCTAAAAACGGTGCGACGCCACCCTTCGACATAGGTGATGAATCATCCGATGATAATAGTCGGGACCTGGATTATTTATCACAGTCAGCTACTACCACCAACGAAGACAGAGAGATTGATCCGGATCCGCTTCCATCCGATGATAAATCTAACACAGGATCTATTGATCAATCGTCTGCAGCATTATTCGAGGAATGGCCGCTGAAGGACGCGCTACTTAAGCGCGTAAGGGTGGGCGGTGTAACCACCTTCCAATTGCAATTTTCGTGGGAGCCAGGGAGTACGACCAAGCAGTATAATCCGAGACAAAGGGTCGCAGCTGCGCGAAGGAAACCTCGAAGGTCACCTCGAAGGTTTTTACGAGCCGAAGAAGAACTACTCGTTCAACTGAAAGACGTGAAGGGGCTACCATGGGAGGACATCTACAATGAATTCGCAAGTCGTTTTCCAGGGCGGAGTAAGGCATCTCTTCAGGTTCGTTATTCTACAAAGTTAAAGAATAGGTTAAGCGGTGTGCAATAGCTGGAGTAGTGCAGAACCGTCAGAGGGCGCCGCACGTATCAAGCGGTGACTGGCTCAGTGCCAAGTAAGCGGTGTCTGGGTAAAGAAACAGCAGCAAAGTGATCATGGATTGCAGGGAAATTTGAGACGAAGCGAAGCAGCGGAAACATATATTTTTAACGGAAGAAGCCTGGTAGAAAAGATGGCAAACTATGTACGAAACTAAGGTAGATTTCTATAGCAAAATGCAGAAATGCTTTGGCACAAAACGATACCGAGATATCGAACTTCGAGAACAAAGTAAAGGCAACGAAACAGTCGCTGCACCGTATCTAGGCCCCCCTGAAAACGACCGGACTGTGGGCTGTATGTATATCAGCAATGTTGCCCATCTCACCACCCCCCGGGCAAGATAACCTGTCTCAACCTTTCCATAAGTCGCCCTCTCATCCCTTGCATCAGGGGTTTGAAATGCCAAACATCGCCTTTGAAATTCACCCAACGCCTCGAGAGAGTCCCCGCACACCTTCTCTTGTAGATAATGACCAGGAACCCAATTTATCTATTTGCAGGCGACATTTGTCGACATCTATTAGCGGTAGAGCCTCGTCGATTTCGGCTAGGAAACGCGGTCAGCCACATTTATGTGTCCTTTGGCGATACTTTGATCCTTAGAAAACTAGCTTACTTCGATGCGCTTCAGCTGTCAGCCCATAATCCAAGCTAATAAGGAAGAGGTGATTAATGCCGATCATAAATTGTGAAATGCGACGAGCGGAATCAGGTCTTGCGCTAAGGAAAATATACTAGTTTCGGTAGGCGATTTTCAATCCCTGGAGTAGGGGTCGCCACATAGAGCAGGCGGTGCTTGATTGAGTAGGCAGTGTTTTATTGTAAGCCGGATGAGGTAGGCGGTGTCAATACGTTTTGATCCTGCTTGTGATCTAATTTCCTCACCGCCTGTCCATCCCCCTTACCGTCAGCTGAATTGGTACCCCTCGCCTACACGATTCTGATACCGCCTGCCCGATGTAGCACCGCCTGCCCGATGTAGCACCGCCTGCTTGACGCGGTACCGCTTTTCCGATGCGACACCGCCTGCTCGATGCGACACCGCCTGCTTGATATCACACCGCCTACTTAATGTGGTTCCCTAATACATACTCCGAAATACCCGGCAGGCTCTAAGACCGCACGCGCTGACTTTCAAAGCCAGAAGCAGCCAAGGCCTTCATGGCGTGGCATAGGAGCCTCCCCAAGAAGGATGTGGCAGTGCTGTTGAATGCCGGAAGCCATCGCAATACCAAGTTGGGTGGAGGGGGGCATGCGTCTGGCATAGGGTATTTTCGTTGGCGCCCTCACAATCCACTGGAGCCACATTCTTAGGCCCCAAATGCTCTGTTGGGCTCGGGGCGACGTGATGATCGAAGGCCCCTCAGCAGGTGGCTTTGCGACACGCATATCCCCAAAGAAAAGCAGAGGCAAGTTGTTAGGATTCAATGCACGGCGTAGAAGATGCTCCTTGGCAACGGCAATGAAGCCCTCGTACATTTTCCTCGGCTGCTCTGAGGCACCCCCAAGAAGCAGCTATTGCTTTCCTAGGTACTCGTAAACACTGTCGCTCATGCCCCCGAGACTGAACGAGTCGCCCTTGTAGGCCATAGGGGTCTTGGAGGCATCGACCACGACTGGCCACATTCCAGGAAGGAGACCCATGCCCTGGCCTTGTTTCAAATCGCCATATATGCGTTGTATAGCATCATAATATTGTATATAGCCTGTTAGCTGAGACACCTTGGTGAACTCCAGGCTCAGAGACCCCACCTCAGCCACCAGGACGGTACTGCCAGCTTTTTGTACCTTACCCTCGACATAGTTCCGCCAGGGGAAACGCGTGACTGGCATGCGATTTGGGGTATCGGCGCGGGTTTGGATCGCTACCACGGCTATGCTTGGTCTTTATGGTGATGGCCAGAGGTCGCTCGATTTCCAAGATCTCAAGGGCGTTAGGCTGGACAAAGAAGCGACTGTTTCCCACGAGAGACCTGGCTCCCGAGAGGCACGCGGCGGCTGGTGCCAGGAAATCCGTAGCTAATCAACCCATTGCTAGCCCTCAAAGTTTATTTCTAGCGAGGTACTGGCTCGACAGGCTTTCATTCGCATGTTCGGTGCTCATATATGCTTGGGGTCGTTGTTTCAGACTCCCTACCATCTCGGACGCTACGCAGACTTACCTGACCTCGAATTCCTCTCGATCACCGAACACACGCTAAATTAAGAAACTGATAGCGG